ATGTACTTGTCATTTGTACATCTTCTTTTGAGAAGCGTCTATCATTTCAATTATTCATTGCTATGGTTTATATCTAAATGCTCCCCAAAGCCTCATGTACTCATAAGTGTGGATTTGGGGAAGTGATGTAATTGATACTCATCAGTTGATTTCAATGAATGTGACTTGGGAGGTAAAGCCTGGTTGGAGGAGACGGGTCACTGCAGGTGTGGTATGGAAGGATCTAGCCCCTTCCCTCCTCCCTGCTGTTCCCTCAATTCTGTTCTATTGGTCAATACATAATTTGTTGTATTTCTTTCCATGCTGTTTTTATTTTTGTAGCTTTATAATTTAACTTCAAATCTGGGATTTTTTTTTTCTTTTTCTTTTTCTTTTTCTGTCTTTTTGAGGCAGGGTCTCACTATGCAGTTCAGGCTGGCCTTGAGCTCACTTTGTAGCCTAGGCTAGTCTCGAACTCACAATGATCCTCCTGCCTCAGCCTCCCAACTGCTGGGATTACAGGCATGGGCCACCACACCTGGCTCAAATCTGGGATTATAATGCCACTTGCTTTGCTCTTTTTCTCCGGACTGATTTGGTCATTCTATGTCTCTTCCAGTTCCATGTAAATTCTAGGGTTTTTTCCTGGTCCTCTGATGAATGCTGTTGGTATTTTTATTGGAATTCCATTAAATCTACTTATCATTTTTGGTAATATGGCCATTTGGAAATTTTGGTTCTGCCTTTCCAAGAACAGGAGATGTCTAGTTTCTAATGTTCTCTTCAATTTTTTTTCAGAATATTATAGTTTCATTAAAGGGTTCTTTTGCTTCCTTGGTTAGGTTAATTCCTAGGTATTTAATTTTTTTAAGCTACTGTGAATGAGGCAGTTCAGATTACTTTCTTGGTGATTTCACTGTTGGTACACAGGAATCCTATTGATTTTTGTATACTGATTTTGTGTCCTGCCATCTACTGAACTAGGATTTTGTGTGTGTTTTGTTTAGTTTTGTTTTGGGGGTTTTGTTGTAGTTGTTGTTTTGGCAGTAGTGGGGAACTGTCAGGGCCCTTGCACTTAGCTACATCATCAGCTACCTGACAGCAAGCACACATTGGTATTGTAAGAAATTCCCTAGTTAGTCCTTCCTCTTTTCACTGTGTTAATATTCCTAGATCTTGCCTCAATGATCTCTCAGTCTCCAATTACTCCAATCTCGAAGAAGCAAACATAAAATTCATCATCTTTCCTTATAAAGTGAAATTTTAATAGTGGTGCTGGTTATTGATACATGCCATGTCAGGGGAAAATATCACATAGCTTATGCTTCACAGAAACACATTACTTCAAAGTGAGCTGCTGTTACCATAGTGAAGTGCTTCATTACATTAGCAGATAACTTAAAAGGGTCATGAGATTCACACAGAGAAAAAACTTCTTCAGAGGCTAGCTACCCTCAATGTTCTTTCCTTGGGGAATAAAGGTTTTTCCCAGTCACAGTTCCATATTGCTCCCAGGGTGAGTAGCAAGTACAATTCATTCTTTTATTTAAGAGAAACAACAACAACAAACTTCCACAGCTCTTGATAATCTACAGGATACAGGTCAGGGTCTGTAGCCTATATACAGACTTTCATCATCTGGCTACTGTCCACTTCTCTTGCCTCACCTTTTATTATTATTTTACTGTTTAATTTAATAATCTCAACTATGTGTAGTTCCCTACACTGTAGTTTGGTTTTGTTTTGCAGTAGTACGGACTAAACTCAGGGTTTAGCACTGAGTACATTCTCAGCCCTTTTTTATTTTTTTTTTTTTTGAGACAAGGTCTCACAGGCCAGGGATATAGCTCAGTGGCATAAGCGCTTGCCTGGCAAGCCTGAGGTCATGAGTTCAATTCCCGGTACAAAAAAAAGTCTAGAGACAGGGTCTCACTAAGCTGCTATGTTGCCGAAGCTGAGCTTGAACTTGGGATCCCTCTACCTCAACCTCTCAAGAGTGCTGGGATTATAGGGGTATGCCACTGTGTGCATCTGTCCCACAGTTTCATATCATGTTTTTATACATGCTGTTGTGTGAAAGTGGAATGACCTTCCCCGCCTTATAAACTTTGCAAACTCTAGTTTATTATCCAAAACAATACTCCAGTAGCACCTCCTCTGTGAAGCCTTCCATGATCAAAGCACACACACTGAGTCTTCTGGGAATTTATATAACTATATACCTTGTGAGATTTTCTTGTTTTGTTTGTTGAGACAGGATCTCACTATTCCAGGCTGGTCTTTTTTTTTTCTTTTTTCTTTTTTTTTGTCTTTTTTAAACAGGGTCTCGCTATGTAGTTCAGGCTGGCCTTGAGCTCACTTTGTAGCCCAGGCTGGTCTCGAACTCCCAACAATCCTCCTGCCTCAGCCTCCCGAGTGCTGGGATTATAGGTGTGCGGCACCATGCCCAGCTCCAGGTTGGTCTTGAACTTACTATGTAGCCTGGGCTGTCCTCAAACTTGTAGCCATAATCTTGCTTTGGCCTCCCAACTGCTGGGATATAGGCATGCAACCATGCCCAGCTCCCTAGTAAGCTTTTTTTTTTTTTTTCATTTCATTTTGTGTTTTTACAATATACTCATTATATTGCCCAGCTTGGCTCTGAACTCCTAGGCTCAAATGACCCTCCTGTCTGAGCTTCCTAAGTAGCTAGAATACGGGTACCTACCACTACATCCACGCACCAGGCTCTTGTAAAGATTTCTGTTTTGTCTGAACTCACTATATAGTACAGGCTGGCCTCCAACTCAAGATCCTCCTGCCTCAGCATCCTGAGTGCTAGGATTACAGTCATGTACCACCATGCCTGGCATCCCAGCACTACAAACAAAACCAAACTAATCTTAAATTCAAGTCTCCTTTCTAAGGCTTAATACTTATAAGAGTTTGGCCACATTATTCTCTGAGTTAGTTTACTTATTTGTAAAATAGGTCTACTAATAATTTCACCTAGGACTTAGTACAAATGCAAATGTTTTTTACAAACTCTTTTTTTTGTTTTGAAACAGGGTCTCACTATGTAGTTCAGGCGGGCCTTTAACTATGTAGCCTAGGCTGACCTTGAACTCATGGTGATCCTACTGCCTCAGTCTCCTGAAATGCTGGGGTTCAGGTGTGCGCCACCACGCTCAGCTGTAAGCCACCACGCTCAGCTGTAAATGCATTTTTAAACTACAAGGTCATCATCATCATGATTGCCACCATCATCATTTCTGATCCACTGTGGCTTTTTCTACCACAGACTTCGAAATACTGATAAAAACCTTTTGTTACTCAAGTATCAGATTTGGTAAATCACTTAGCACCATTTTTTATTAATGGATTCTAATTTCTAAAATTGACAGTTTCCCAAGGTAGCCACACCACCACTGGCCTACCAAGTGATTTTTATCCTAAACCAAGCAGAGAAACAGCTAATCACTGTATCTATGTTATAAACATTTTTGATTGAATCTGAAAACAAATTACCCACCCATAGTCACACATTTTTTACAGAAAATATGGCCACAGCTGGTGACAAAGAAATGAGTCCCATCTTTTCGGAAACACTGGTTGCAGTGAAACCAATCCATTCTGGAACAGATAAAGAGAAAGAGTGAGGTGGTCATAATATAATTACAGCTGTTCAAAAATCTATATAAAATTGTTTGCTTAGTTTGTGGTAATTTATTGGGATATGGTAATGTCATTATGAACATTCCAATTAGTTGTAAAGGCCAGGCATGGTGGTACACACCTGTAATCTCAGCACTTGGGACGCTAAGGCAGGAGGATCCTTTTGAGTTCAAGACCAGCCTGGGCTACAAAGTGAGCTCAAGGCCAGCCTAAACTGCATAGCAAGACCCTGTCTCAAAAAGACAAAAAAACCAAACCAAACAAAAACCAATTAGTTGTAAGGAAGTACAAGCTAAAAGTTTGTAAAAAACATCTTACAAACTAAGAGTTTGTAAAAAACATTTGCATTTGTACTAAGTTGTAAGGAAGTACAACTAATTGGTTTTTGAGAAAAAGCAGACTCCAGAGTATGCTATGCTATGCTATATAACATCAACTTAATTTATTCTATAATTTTGGAAAAGATGATATTTGTGTTTGTGTAGGAAAGATGGCCATGGTTCTGTTTGTCACCTGATGCAGTTTACAAACAAAAAATTTTGCCAAATGCTTCTGTTTGTAAGTCAAATTATTTGCAAACAAAAGCGTTTGTGAACCAAGGTACCCCTATATACGGCACAGAATGCATATATATGTAGAGAGAGAAAAACAGAGACAGTAAGACAGTGTTGAAATTTCTTTAAAAATTATTTGTATGCTGCTTTTACTTTTTTAATTTTCCAAATTTTCTGGATTAGTTCATGTACTAATTTGTAACTAGAAAAACACTTAGAAAAACAAACCCATTCTTAACAGTTTTCTGTGACATGTCAAGAGTGGAGGAAAGAGCAGGCAGTGGACCAGAAAGAGATCCCATGTTACACATTTAATATAAAGAAAACAGGGTTCAGTGAATGATAATAATGATAAATATATAATATGCTTATTTATTTTTCCATCTATTCCACAGAAACTCAAAATCATACATCTGCGATGGGCTTTGAAAATCATTTACTTTGATAGGTGCTAAAGTATGTGTTTATGTGAAAGTTTTATAGATCATTCACTATAGTATTTTTCTCACAGCAGTAACGTGATTCAAGAAATTTTACAAATTGGCAAATTTACTTCCTGTTAAATGTAACCACCAGAAAAAAGTGATAGAATCACAAATCGCAGTGTGCTGTCTTGCAGTACAAATGCAAATCAGAACCATTTTTGTGCAAAGCACTTACTGAAACAGGTATTTTGGTTTGATGATGGATTTGAAAATCATTTACCATTTTATCCAATATTGTAATTTCCTCAAAAGATGTACCTGAATGCCACTGAAATTAAATAGCCTCAAAGTTCCATAGCTAGTCAGTGATAATTCTGGAATTAGAATCGAAGTCTCATGACTCCCAGGGTAAAGTTCTTCCTCTCACATTACATAGCCTTTATCTTAGACTTGGGCAACCACATGTCCTGTATTTTCTGGCAAAACCAACTTCACATAATTTGTTAAGAACATAAGCAAGTAAATGTTACTGTGGGATTTTTAAGCGAAGAAACTGATATAAAAAATACAGAAGTGAGCTATAATGTATATTTAATGGATATGCTAAGAATGTAATATTCATTAATTCGATTTCCTTCAAAGTTAACTGGAAAAACAAAACAGAGGTAAGTTTTTTCCCTACTAAGTCTTTCCCTTTAAATTTTTTTCCCACATGGTAGGCAAGCATCCTAAACCACTCAAAACATTAGTTTACAAAGAGGTTTGCCAAGTTAATGAAGGCTACGCTTCACCACACTTTAACACTTTTGTCACGTAAGGCAAGATTTGCCATAAAAAGTGACTGAATAAACAGCTTAACGCTAAGACAGCCCCCAGGGCCCTGAGCTCCAGCCCCGCGTTTGTGGCGCGGGAGGCGCGGCAGCGCAGCAGGACGCAGGGGGCGCGCAGCGGGGGCGGGGGCGGGGCTCTGCGCCGAGGAGCCGCCCCGCCGTGGGCCGCAGCGACAGTTTAATCCCGGGCGGCTGAGCGGTACCGGGGGACGGCGCGAGCAAAACTCGCCTCCGCTCTAGGAATGAGGGGTACCAGCGGTCCAAATTTCCTACTTTTTCTAGCTACCTTCCCAACCGGGCTGGCCACTGTGGTCCCGAAAGGCCTCAGGTCTCACCTAAACATCCAGTTTTCCTCAAGAAGAAAAGGAACCGCGGGAAAATAACCACCCCGCCGGGCGGCCCGGGGGTGCAGAGGGCGGTGTGCGTGAAGCGTGGGCGGGGCAGGCGCTGCGCGCAAGGTGGAAGTGGGCGGGGCTCCGCGCTCCGTCGAGCGCGTGGGCGGGGCCTGCAGGGAAGATCTGGGGTCTAGAACGCGCCGCGGGCCCTGGGAGCTTAGCAGCCCAGGAACGTTCACCGCGTTGCGGGAGTCGAGGATAACTAATGATGCTCTAATCTCATACATGTTACTATGGGAGCAGAAAGCTGAAAATAAACCTAATGATGTTCCAACAGAGGACCAGTTACAAAGAAAAGAGTTACACAGCAGATGAAAAGGTAAACCTTACACTTTTTTTTTTTTTCTTTTCCGGTATCGGGAACCGAACTCACGACCTTGCGCTTACCAGGCAGGCGCTGTGCCGCTGAGCTAAATCCCCAGCCCCCCTTACACGTATTTTGAAATGAAGGAAAAAAGGGATGCTTGTAAAGAACAGTGTAAACCAGCAATAGTAAACCTCTGATATAGAACGAACAGCTGGATATTAAGAGAACTAACTTCGGGAAAGTTTTTAAACTTTTAAGGAATGAGGACTGAAAGAAGAAAGGTATTTTGTTTTTGTTTTTTAATTTTTATTAGTACATATTTGTAGTACATAATGATTTCATTCATTGTGGGGAGTTGGTACATGTACAGAACATATCTTAATACTTTTTACTTCCTCTTTCCCTCTCCATCTTCCTTTATTGAGACATGCACCCTCTTACGTAGCCCATACTGGCCTCAAATTCCAACTCCCTATCCTCCTGCCTCAGCCTCCCAGAGATTTAAAAAAGAAATAATGAAAGATAAAAGCTTTCTAAATATAGAAAACAAACGATAGAATTTACATACACATTCCTTACTCCAAAGAAAACTAAAGCAAAGCGTTGAAATAAATATTTAACGAATTATTTTAAGAAAATTTCGCTGAAATTTAAAAAAAAAAAGATTTGCCGGGCGCGATGGGGCATGCCTGTAATCCCAGCACTCGGGAGGCTGAGGCAGGAGGATCGTTGGAAGTTTCGAGACCAGCCTGGGCTACAAAGTGAGCTCAAGGCCACCCTGAAGTATGTAAGGTAGACTGTGTCTCAGAAAACAAAAATGAAAACCAAAAAAAAAAAAAAAAAGTACTAGTCGTTTATAAGGAAGAGAGAATGAGCTCAGCATCAGATTTCTCCAAAGCTACATGTTATGTTAATAATATTTTCAAGGAAAAAGCCTGGCATGGTATTGCACCCCTGTAATCCCATCCAGCACTCTAAGAGGCTGAGGCAGAAGGACTGTAAGCTCAAACCCAGCATGGGCAATATAGCCACTTAGCAAAACCACCCCAAAATACAAAATAAAATGTAGCTGGGCATGGTGGCACACACCTATAATCCCAGTACTTGGAAGGCTGAGGCAGGAAGGTAGTTGTGAGTTCAAGACCAGCTTGGGCTGCAAAATGAGCTCAAGGCCACCCTGAACTGCATAGCAAGACCCTATCACAAAAAGACAAAAAAAATTCTGATCCTTCTGCCTCAGCCTCCTGAAATCTTGGGATTATAGGTATATACTACACTTGTCTCCAAAGAGCTTTTCAAAAAAGAAAACCAACAACTTCATAGAAATTTGAACAAAAAAGATATGAACCACTAGTTCATTTAAAAAAAAGCTTAAAATGGCCTGGGAATATATTTTACCTCACTTTTTTAAAATATACAAAGGGAAACTCCATTGCTGGGTGTGGTGGCACATTCCTGTAACTCCAGCACCTGGAAGGCTGAAGCAGGAGGATCACTGGGAGCTCCAGGCCAGCCTGGGCTACATGGTGAGTTTAAGGCAAGCCTGAATTACATAGAGAGACCCTGTATTGAAAAAAAAAATGAAAAAAATGGAAAAAAAAAACCTCCATCAAGAGTTTTCATCCATTAGGTTGACAGAAATCCAAATATTTCATAACATACTATGAAATGAGCCTTCATACTGCTCTGTAATGAAAATAGTAATATCTAAGAAAATTACGTATGTATTTGTTTTTAATCCAGCAATCCTTTTTCTAGAAATCTGTTCCAGAAATACATTTGCAAAATATATGAAATGTTTTTTGAACAAGATTCAGCCAGGCATTGTGGCGCACACCTGTAATGCCAACATTTTGGAGGCTAAGG